GTTCACAGTTGCGAGACCACCCAATGCCAGGGATTTCAGGGCCAAGGAGCGACGGTGATCAGCCCTGGGGAGGTTAGTGCTGGACCTGTTGGAAATGTTGGCAATTTTTTTTTTTTTTTTCCTTTTTTTCATTTATATCATTCTGTTTTTTGTTTATATATATATATATGATTTTATTATTATTATTTTTTTAAATCATTATATATATATATATATTTGCATTTTATTTTGATTTGTTTCTCTCTCTCCTAGATGGAAATTCTTGTAGATGATCTTTTTGGTAGTTGATTGACTTTTGTGTATTTGCAATATAGTTTGAAGAGCCGCGGTTGCCCCGGTCGAGTTTAGTGTTGAGTATTTATTTTGATGTAGATATTTATATATATACATATAAATATATCTTTAGATAGTTATATTTTTAGTTAGTTGTCTCTCTCTCTCATGTTATATATGGTAGAGTATTTGTCTTCCACATTTTTTTTTTTTTACATCATATTCTCTGTCTGTCTGTCTGTCTGTCTCTCTGTCTGTCTCCCTATGTATCTATCTATTTTTCTCTCTTTTATTCTCTTTCTGTTTCTCTCCTCCCTTCCTCTTTTTCTCTCTCTCTCCATATTTCCTTCTTTCTTCTCCTCCTCTTCCCTTCCTTCCTTCCCACCTTCCTTACTTACTTCCCTCTTTCTTTCTTTCTTTCTTTCTTTCTTTCTTTCTTTCTTCCCTCCTTCCTTCTCCCTCCCTCCTTCCCTCCCTCCCTCCCTCCCTCCCTCCCTCCCTCCCTCTCTCCTTTCCCTTCCTCCACCCACCCCCCTTCTAACTGGGTTCTCGTTGCAAATGGATTTCGCTTGACTTCGTTGCAATGAGCGCTCCTCGCCTCCCCTCTTCTCCCCCCCCCCCATCGCCATAGGCTACACGGAGGTAAGGTGAGATGTTGTAGAAAATAGAGAGGAGACGGTCCTTGGCATGTAGCTTGTTCTTGAAAGTTTTGGAGGGGGGGAGTGAAGGTGGCAGACGGGTTTGCATTCCTGTGCACGTAGATACATACGCCAAAGGGTATGATGCGAACATACATGTACATTTTTTTGCAAGGAAATGCATATAGATATAGATATAGGCATAGATAACAGCTATACACACGCGTGTAAACACACACACACACACACACACACACACACACACACACACACACACACACACACACACACACACACACACACACACACACACACACACACACACACAGTACGTAGATGTCTGTAATTTAATGGGAACAGAACACGTGCTTTTTTTCAATCTTTTTTTTTTTCTCTCTAATCTGGCTTGAAATTACGCTTGTTTGTTCTGCTGTTTGTGAATACATTACGGGTCTGTGTTCACGGCTGCGGAAAATAGAGATCGAGTTTGTTCATTTCCGTCGATGGCGAGTGATTTTGTTGTTTTATTTGTTTTTGTTTTTTGTTTTTTTGTTTATCTTCCCTGCTCGCTGTAACGCTTCAGGTGCGTATTTCCGCGAGCACAAACACCTCGGAGCAGACGAACAAACAAACAGATAGGAAGGCTTGGGGGGCGGAGGATGTGTTTATTTCTTGCGTTTCGTTTTAGGGGGAGACTTTGTACTGTGGCGAATGGGGGGGGGGGGGGGTTTGGGCACTGTTGCCTCTCCTTTTCTTTCTCTCCACTCTCTCTCTCTCTTCCATCTTCTGTTCTGGTTCTTTTTCTTGTTCTTCTACTTGTTCTTGTTCTTTCTTCTTCTTCTTCTTCTTCTTCTTCTTCTTCTGCTTCTTCTCTCCTTCCCGTCCTTCCATTTTTTAAAACTATTCTTACTTATTATGTCAGATATTGTGCAAGGAATTTGACGATAAAGGCGGATGTATAGTGACGAAATGAACAGTGGCGATAGTTTGATAAGATCGATAATTTCAGTGATATTAAACTTCAATAAATTATTATCATATTGATAAGAGAAAGATACAACATCGATGTAGAAACACACTCACTCACTCACACTCGCACACACACGCACACACACACACATAAAAATATAGGCAAACGCGCGCACGCACACACACACACACACACACACACACACACACACACACACACACACACACACACACACACACACACACACACACACACACACACACACACACACTCACTCACTCTCACTCTCACCATAGAAACATCAAACCGTATTTACGTGTATATAATCTAAATCGTTAATGATAAGCACATAAATAACACAGAAAACGCCACGTGAGGACATTTTTTTCCCGTCGCATAAATTTGAAACATTTAATGGCCGTCCTCATGTAATTTTCTCGGCAGTTCACGAATATATTAACACTGGAGTAATTCCTGTTGCCTGGCTGTTGCAAAGCGTCTGGCAACAGCAGCAACAACTGGAGCAACGACGGCGAAACGACACAGACAGGAGGTGGGGGGGTGGGACAGCTGGTGAGGTGTCCTGTTACCATCTGTGTGTGTGTGTGTGTGTGTGTGT